GCATAAATATAGAGAAAGAGCCATCCAGGAAAACAAGCATACCTACTCTGCTAGATTTCCCCTTGCTTACCCTAAGGCAATCCAAATCCCAAGAGGTACACCAAGGGAAATCTCTAGCGCCTTCTTCTCTCTCAAGCTAGGCCACGGATACTTTAACGCCTATCTAGAGAGAGTGAAAAAGAGAAACTTAAACCTCTGCGATTGTGGGAGAGTACAGACACCAGATCACCTTCTCCTATACTGCTGGCACTACAACACAGAAAGGCAAGCGCTAAAAGCAACTCTTCGCGAGAACTACCTAACAATCCAACTACTCCTCCACACTAGCAAAGGCAGAGAGGCTACTTTAGCTTTTATTGCTAAAACTAGAGTAGGGACTAGAGGCTGGCATCTAGGCCAAGAATAAGATAACTAAAAATAAGCGAGAACAGAGAGACACTACCTAAAACCAATAATAACTAACAAACTTTCTTAAGTTACTTTCCTTAGCCCTAAAAGAGCTCGCTGGAAGACAGCCCTGCTGTCTAACATCTCTTCCTGTTTACTAAACTGCTCTTCAGCAACTGGAGTCCGCTTTAAGCGCAGCTAGAAGCGACTAAACCGCAGCACAATAGCAGTACTATACAGAGAACACTCTCACTTTAAACAAATTGTACCTAGAACGGCCTCTGGCCAAAGTCTTACATAGTCACTGACTGCAGATAGACTCTAATGGAATAATAATAATAATAATACACATGTTGGTCTTGACACGTTAACGTGGTGATGTCTCTCGGGCTCTTGGCATGTTTCTTGGCATTTGAGATAATTATGCCTTCTTGTATACTGAGGCTGATACAAAAGCACAAACATACAGGATAATAGTATGGCTGGGGTTATAGTGTGCCTGACGATATGGCGCCTGAAGTTGCCTGAAATGGTATAAGGTCACACATTCCATTGTATCGCACTATCTTTTATTGAGCAAAGTTATTCAACAACCCGGGAATAATTCCTGTGCGTCTAATTCCCCGCATTTCGTGATACTAACCTCTGACAAAAAATCAGGTGTTTTCTCTGACTCGGGCTGTGAACACGCATGTGCCGTTCAAAGGTCTTAGATCCAAACTTGACCACATTTCTGCTAGAGCGCCTTAGTCCATGGTCGATTAAGACCGTGTATCCATGTTTCGTAAAAACAGACATGCGTATCAAGACCTAACTCTTTATCTAGAGTATCTCCCACTATTGTTACAATCCACATGCACTTCCCATGCCACAAGGTCTGTTCGTTCTGTCTCGCACGCACATGTCAGAACTGTTCACTTGGCTAGGTCTAAAGCTGCTAATTGATGGAACAACAAGTTCTGAATTTCTGTCGAGGTTGATGAAACAGTTCGTGTATTAAAGGGTCTATCAAGGCGGATGAGCATAAAGCATACTGGATACAGAACAAGAAAGAATAGAATAAGTATACGTACTACCCAACCCACCCTTCTTTCCCCATGATCTCTCTAGTCCATGCATCTAGCCTTTCCGCAAGTTCCGCATCCTTGGCCGGACCACTCACCCACCCTGGCTCCCCGCAACGTTTGAAAATCTCCATGTAGCCCCCACTCTCCGCGGCCTTCATTTCTTGACTCGCTACACAGAACAAACTCGTGTAGGAGCCCTTGTCGGGGGAATACATTAGACCCATCATGCGCAAGACGGACAAAATAATCGGCATGGCAAAGCCTGAGGAACTGACTCCATCGGCGAGATTTGTCTCCACGAGGCCTGGATGAATGCATGATGACCAGATTTCGGCGGCGTTGTTGCGGGCGCTGGGGGAGCCAGGCCCGTACTTGGCATGTAGAGTTTTGGTTTGGAGGATGTTGGCTAGTTTGCTCTGGCCGTAGCGGGCCCATACGCTACCGTCCTTGTTGGCTGTGTCGTCAAAGTTGATGCCGCCCTTGGGTGCACCCAGGTGGCCTGACGAGCTGAGGTTGGCGATACGCACGCTTCCCGGTGGCAGTGTTTTGGCGGTTTGGAGCATCAGTGGAAGTAGGTGTTCTGTAAGCACCCAGTGAGCCAGGTAGTTGGTCTGCCATTGTGCTTCGTGGCCGTCTTTGGTCATCTCAAACGGCGTTGCCATGATGCCTGCGTTGTTGACCAGGCCGTGCAGCGCTGTCTCGAGCGTGAGGAAGTGCTTTGCAGCCGCGACGACGGTGCTGAGGTCCATAAGGTCAACCTGAAGGAGGTCGACTTGGGCTTCAGGATGCATTTTCTTGATTCTGGCAATGGCGTCGGTGCCCTTTTTCGGGTTCCGAGCGCACATGTACACATGGGCGCCATGTCTGGCAAGATGTGCTACTGTGTAGTAGCCGCTGAGCGTAGTATGGTGTGATTAGCGGAATGAAGCTTGTTGCTAGAGTTGAGAGCATGGCTTACATGCCAGCATTCCCTCCTGTGACTATGAATACCTTGCCCTTCAGATCAGGGAGAGAGTCAGGGTGGAAGGTCATGTTCAAGGCGATAGCTACCGTCTACACGCAGAGGTGGGTCGAGTGCGATACCTACTTGCATCTTAAATGTCGAAATGCTACCTCAGCGCCATATGTTTTGTAAACTACACCGTACGATGTTGTGACCAATGGCTGAATTCGAATTCAGTTAACTATACATAAGCAAAGTATAGTGCGAGCGGAATTCCGCTGGGCAGTGCTGACAGCCGAGTCACCCAGCCACAACAATGCTGCGCTTGGCCATACAGGGTCATGATCCTGTGCAAAAAGCGCCACCACACCAGGATAACCCACCCAAGCAAGACACAGCCACAACTCGTCTTCTCGAATGGTTCCATGTCACGCGTAGTTCTTGGACATGCATGTTGTACCACACATGGCCAGGCTTAACCCGGCCAATGGACCGTTTACGTTTGTTCGCCGCGGAACACTGGATTATTGTCAAAAGGTTTGGTAGCCAGCCAACCCATGGATTGGCTTGCAGCCTTAGTGTGTAGCCCCGTTGCAGCTGAAGCGTGCTCAGCTCATCTTTCCAGAATCTTCGCTTACTTGATTGACGACTAGCATACAGATGTGCTTTCAGGTCAAGATATCCCAGATATGCTGCAAATATGTGTGGCTAATCTATCGGTATTAGTTCAGAGCAGGGTCTTTACGAACAAGGCTTCATCCATCGCTTGCCAAGCTAGATACTCATGTATGAATCGATGCTGCGAAAGTGTTAAGCTGTCATACTCAGTATTCAATTGCGGCAAGGATAGAATGTGAGGCGGAGCAGGGCTGAGGAAAGAATGAGCACATGGCCTGAATAGCATGCCGGGTTAATTCAATTGTTACCTGCTTGAGGCTGTGTCAGGCTGGAGCCTGATCGTTCTAGACATTGATGCACGCTAATAGCAGTGCAGTCGTTTAGCTAAGCGGCAAGGCTGAATGATGAAAAGATTCTGATGCATGTCACCACACCTACGAGATGAAAAAAAAACTATAACACACACGTGGCATAGCCAGGCTGGGTTGGGTCTTGACAGCCGCAGGGAGTGCATGCCAAGGTGCTAACCCTTTCCAGGACGACAGGCAGCCATGATCACGTCGACTGCCAACACATCCTTTCTCGGGTTTGTATTGCTTTTCGAAGAAGCCTTTGCTGAAAGTCAATAGAATCATATGCGGAACATGGATGGTATGCATGGCATGCATTGCGATGTACATGTAGTCAGAGGAAGAGACACGGCTATCTATGTGGTCACATGACTATGATCATGTGACCAATTCAGGTATCGGATGTTTTTGGCCTGCGTGGGTACAAGGTACCGAATCGTGATCCAGATGCAGTTCCTGGCCTCAGCAAAGCCTCTTGATATTAATCCTGATATGAAAGTGAGTCATTCGTCACAGTTCCAGATGTATATGTCAGCCCCTCGCCCACTCATTCTCCACAGACGGCTGCTGCTCGCGTCCAACGTTTGCCGGAAAAGCCGGGTGGCTTCCCTGCTCAATCGCACGGCTGGGCGCATGTCCATCTTCTTCGGCCTCTTCTTCGACGCGATCCGAGTAGCGATTGTATGCAGGAATAAAGTCAATTGCACGTCGGGGCTCTGCATCCCCGTTCCTCTCATCAGCAATCATGCGAGAGAGACGAGCCGGGGCAACCCTGTGCAGCCACGAGTTCTTTTGAATAGGGATGGCGATGATGGAAAACTGCCGAGCATGTAAGCAAAGCCCTTGTCTTGTGGAAGCCTATTGACACAGACCTGCCAGATAAAGACCATGGCCACGACAGTCATAAATAACCCTGCCATCTTCTGCTCTTCGGCCTTCCACGCGCCCAGGCAACCGCTTGTTCTGCCGTTGTACGTGGTTTCACATGCATGGGCATTGTGGGTGCGGTCTGGAAAAGGCCATGCCATGTCACGTGAATTGGCGAGGCCGCAGCAATTGAAGGCATCCTGGATCTGGCGGATGGCAGTGGCATCCTTGTGCCTGAAGAGTCTCTGCCAGCGCTCTCGCAGGCCGCAGTCTATCGTGGATGACGGAGCGACATGGGTGGCTGATAGAGTGATGACGACGGTCGAGTAGATGAAGATGAGCGTGTTGGCAACGATGACGAGGGGCGGGCGCTGGATCTCGCCGCGCGACAGCTGGTGGCGACGCTCGTGGCGACGCGTCAGGTCATAGCCAAGTTCAAGCAGCAGACCAGAGACTATTGGCAGCGCTGTGGTAAAGGCCGTCAGCGTGTCGGAGATGGGTATGGAACGGGCGTTCGCGCGGGATGCCGCGTAGCTGAGGGTTGTTCGTGTTAGCGTCCAGCTACTAGCATAACAACGGGCGGATGTTGGGAGGCGTTACCCCGCGAGGGCTGTTGCGACAAGGAGATACTAGGGTAGTGGTAGGGTCAGTCTTGGTGTGGTGAGCGAGTGGGGAACACGTGGGCCCAGTCTGGCCTGGCCTGGCCGTCCGTCTTACTAGAAGGCTAACACATGTGATGACTTGTTTGCGCGTGTACGTCATCCTCGGCCGAATGTTGGCAGTATGATGGATAGCAGGATGGGTTGTTGAGAGGCTTGCAGAGGCCGTGGCAGCAAGGGCGAGTCCGGCACAGAGCGAGGGGGGAAAGGGGGAGAGGAGAGGGGAGAGGAGAGGAGAGAGAGGGGGCAGACCATGGCCATGGAGGCCTCTGGGTACTCTGGGTACTACAAGGTTGCCTAAGGGCCGAACAAGGGACAGGCATGTGTGCCTGTTTGGTGGGTGCAAACCATAACAATCATACAAGCCCATACACATGGATGGACAGATACAGCCATACTGTAGCTGTAGGCCGCGGAGCAGCTGGCCACAGCCAAAAACACACGGCTGGCCTGTGACAGGCGGATGACGCACAGATGTAGCGTTACCATCGGGCGACGAGGCGCTGCATACGGCGGGCTGCAGCTGGCGGCGGCGTATCACCCTCGGCCAGGTGGTGATGGCGGCCATGGGGCAGTGAATGGTGGTGTGTGGGGAGAGGGACACGTGCGCCGCCATTGGCCCGCAAGCGTGCTAGCGTCCCGTTGGCCGGCTCCCACGCCTTCTCCTGGTCTCGATCTCTCGATGCAAATGTCTGCCCTTGCGACGTCATGCCGACATCTCCATCGCCCACGCCCCCTCCATCCACTCACAGCACCAGCCATCGCCAGCCTCTCCATCGCTGCACAGCACCTCTCCCGCATCTCGACCGTTGTTGCTGCTGCCCGAGCCCGCCGCCGCCGTGCCAGCTCGTGTGACCCGCCCAGGCGCCCTCTGGTCTCAAAGCGAACGACCACACCATGCCCGCCATCCACCATGCTCGCCCTCCTGGATCCCCATGCCTAGCGGCCTCTGCGCCCACACGCGCGGGGTCGCTTTTTTGAATCCGCCCTTAGCTGCCACATGAGTCCGCACCAGATATATCTACATGTGCCTGTCCGGCCCCGAGCCGCCTGCTTTGCCCAAAGCCCCCCCCCCAAAGCCCCCCCAAAGCCAAGTTCTTTCTCACAGTCTGGCCTGGCCCCAGCCCTGCCATCCCGTCACACCTGGTCGACATGCTCCTGTTTTCATCCCCACGATGTGACGCCCTGCTGGCCCATGGGTCGGCCAAACAAACCGCCTCCATCTCTAAGCGACTCTCGCTCCCCTTTTGGTCCACCACTCCTGCCTCGACCCCCCTATTACCACGTACCCCCAAACCCACGTCTTCGCCGCCCTCGCCACCACGCAGAGAGAAGCAGCCGCTCCAGCAGACTGCACTGCTTACCATGTCTCACCATGCCGACGCCTCGCGCTCAGCAACCTTTGCCCCCACGCTGGGCTGCATTCCAGAAGTCTTCGAGTACGACCCTCTCGACGCCAGGCACCGCCCGGCCTCGCTCAACGACGCCCCAGAGACGCCAGACGCCTTCTTGCCCGAGGCTTCAATTGCAAGTCCCCCTGCCCTCACCAGAGCAACTTCCTGGCCCGCAATCATCCAGCCACCGTCCCGGAGAGCCGCCTCCACACTTGCCGTATCCAAGGCCCTGCGCAGAATTCTAGAGGCTGACCGAGCCCGACGCCGGCGCATCATGAAAGCCTACCTGAAAGCAATCGTTTTCCTCCGCTACCTCTGGCACGCGCACGAGCGCTACGGACATCTCATGGCCACCACGGGCATGTACATGCAACGGTAATGGCCATCAAGCAAAAGTTGGACTTCTGGGCGTTATCGGTAATTCAGGCACGCGCGGAAATGAGGTTTAACGAATGTATATGATTGAACGGTTGGCGGCATGCCAAGTGCCGAGGTTGCATGGTTGGGCGTTTTTGCAGTTTGAATCTTGGTTGGGCACCCACTTATCCGCCTGAGCATTGTAACCAAGGCGCGACTTTTTCTTGCTCTATTACATACCCCCCCACATTGTAACTCTACCTCTCATTTTTACCCCTGGCGCACTGTATGAATCACTTTCATTGTTGATGACCATACAGCTGTTTCAGCATCCATGGCACCGAGTGTGAAAATGCGGCCCTGCGCATTTGTTCCCACTTGTACTAAGTGCCTCACCACACTAAAAAAAAACAAGTAATGAACAGATCAGCATTCTGACCCTATCCGCACATCCTGCTGCATATCGGTAAAAAAAACAAAGTATTAACTAATATGGCTAATCCCAACTCAACCCCCACTTCTACCCGCCCATCCCAAGCCCAGCCTGCTGGGTCACCCAGGGGTCAAACACCTCAATGGGGTCCCCCCGGTGCACCCACCATAGGTAAGCTTGATGGGCACAGTGTGCAGGTTGAAGTGGAGCTTTCAAGCGAGAATAAACAGACGTTGGCTTGGTGGAGGGGGAGGTGGTGACCACCTCAATCTATTCTACCTGCCGAGCATGTAATTCATAATAGTCTCCTATATATTCACGAATCCGATAGGTGGTAGAAGCCTATTTGTTATATTGATGCATTATTCGTCAGAGATACCCTCTTCTATTTGCGACAAAAAAATCAAACAGTCCTCTCTATTGGTGGAATGTTTTCTTTTTCGCTTTCACATAACATTATGCAGTTATGAATTCTTGGCATATTCTCTCTACGACATGATATAAATCTCCTCTACGCTTTGAAAAAGCATCTAGTGTGACTTCCTGGCAGTCTGAGTGCTGAAAACTCATTTATCTGTTTGTTGTATTGTTTTACAAACAAAACTGAATTCCTATCACGACTCCAGCTCGAATCCAACACCACCATTCGAATTGTAGATGTCTACTGCGTCTATGCAGAACCAGAAAAAGCCGTTTCCTAAGCCTTCTTTCATGCCTGGCTCTTCACTCTCCTAATCATCAGAGGCTTATCCCTTGGTTCCATAACAACATTACCATGCTCAACCATCTTATACCTAGCTTCTAAACCTGTGACACCTCCAGGCATCTTGATATCGTACTTCTCAATCAGTCTGGCAAGGATAATCTTGAGTAAATTATGCGCGTAGAATCTGCCAGGACACACATGGTTGTCATAGCCCCATCGAAACTCGGTTTCATTAGCAATCAGCCATCGATGCTGCGGCTTGTCCTTTTGTGCGCTGCTTTCGCGCAGGTTGTAGTGTCGGAAGCCGTCAAAGGCATCGTACTTGGAGTCCGTGATAAGTGGGTTTATTATCACAATGGGCACGCCAGCAGGTAGGTACTGTCCGTTGGACAGAGTGTAGCCCTTGCGAACCCGGCGGAAATAAGGTTCTGCTCTGTTTTTAGCTATGCTCCACCAGTAAACAAGAGAGAGACATACCTATGATGACGGGGAAATGCATGCCGACTTCCTTGAAATAACTATCCATCTTGCTAAACTCCTTCATTGAACTGACGGGAATGGATCCGTCGCTATTCAAAGTGTTTCGAATCTCTTCTCGGAGCGGCTCAACATACTCGGGAGTGACGGCTAGCGTATGCAGGATGGCAATCAATGTCTGCATGGATGCATTGATGGTCCCCAGGATAAGAAGGATTTGCGCGGCCGTGCAGTCCTCCAGTGTGTCCTTTTGCCTGTCAGTTCGATTGAGAAGCCATTGCATCATGTCTTCCGGTGGAACCCAATCTGGATCTTTGCTCTTGGCCTCTCGCTCTTCAATCACACGCTTAACGTAATTTCTCAGATTTCTTCTCGTCTCAAGAAGGCGCTTCACCGCCGGGAGTCGGGGCGCTAGAAAGGGTCTAAGCCACACTCGTGTTTCTTTGATCGCTTTGGTAGCTTCGCCTAGGTGCACAGTGAAGTTTTGGGTACAGTCCAGATAACCTGGTTCGTTGGCAACACTGTCGCCAATGAAGAGGTGAGCTGACACTTTGGCAATAATGTCCAAAGCGGTTTTTGAGACATTAATCTCTGTCCACTCATTGTGAGATGGGAGGTATGTGTCCAGCGCTGCATCTACCTCATTGCAAATATTTGAGGTGATTTTCGCTGCTTTTGTTAGGAATTGTGTAGAAACTGCGGAATCGTTCTTCTTACTTAGCTTGGGGGTAAGATCTCTCTTGATTGTATCGACAACCTGGGGTAAAATTCAATATCTACATAAGTGTAGGTCTCTTCTAAGCCCTGAAAGCATGTTAGCCTCGAAGTGACTTGGATTGAATAAATCACATACTTTGGAAAACATGTCGTAGAAAGACAAAACATCCTCAGGAGCCTTTCGAAGTTCAGACAACATGGAGATAGGAAGGACGATTTGCATCTCTAAAACAGTTTAGCAGGCGAACCATGGCACTAGAACGTTTGGCGTACCATCTAGAGTCTGCATTCTATACGCTACTCCTCTGAACTAGTGATGCGTTAGTGAAATTCGACCTTGCATCCCAGTAGACTACCTTCTCGTGGCCATCTTTGTAGAGCGCTTTTGCTCCAGCGAGAAACTTTGCTCGCCGCTGTTCGCCGCTCAGATGCTCTAGAATGAGTGGAAATTTCTCCAGCTGCGACTTGTATCTGAAGCGTGGCAGGTATACGGAAACTGCGACAACGAAAGCGGCAAACAATACTGAGACTGGAATGTGTCGCAGCAAGGCAAAACTGGGAAGGACCAACTCGATTGTCTTCGGGTCGAGAGTATCGGAATCCATCGTTGAGCTGCACCGATGTTACAGAACAGTGAGCACAATTGTCGCGTTGGAATTATTCGACAGTGCAGAGTTACCAAGAGCAAAGATAGTTTGAATAAAAAAGAGCGCCCAGCGTCCGGTGGAGACGCACGAGAACTCTTCAGACTGGCGTAACCGCACTCGTAATGATCAATGTGAGATAAGTTTTCGAACTCTATCTGTTCAGTTGCTATCCCTGGGTGTTTCGGGCATCTCTTGCCCGGCTAGCCCAGTATGCTAGGCTGCAATAAGAGCTATAGTCTAGAGAACAAAGCATACGTGTCTAGCTTTCTGACATTGCGTGATTATCGGTAAGTTTTCGTGACGCTTACGTGCATCGTGACGTTGACGTGCACGAAAAGGTAGAAACTACTCGTGGCAATGATGTTTACCACCGAAAAGTGCACCAGGAATCTTCGGATGTTACATGGAGATAGCTAACTAGGGTTTCTGCAACCATGCAGAGGTTTAGGGACCGATCGATCGATCATATGCAGTCCGGGTTCCTATCCTTGTCCACGCTGCAATTAGTTCCTGGTGCTGGGTAGAGCATTGCGCATTAAGAGATGACTTCACAGTTTCACTCTTATCAGTAAGACAATATAGAAGACTGACAGGTAGAAATGATATTGAATGCTGTAGTGAAAGTTTCCTTTCGTGTCCCGATCAGGCTCTTGTTTTTTTTTTCATCTTTGATTCAAGCCAAGGCAGTAGTGTCGATAGAGTTAATATACAGGCGTACAACGGCGTTTTGTCGGACAGCGCGCGCTCATGTTATGTTCTGCTGTTATGAGTTTCCCGATCTTGTGCAGGAGTCTAATTTGAGCCTCCCAAGCACGCATGTCTTTCGTAGGGAAAACCCTTGACCGGATCCCACACGCCGCAACAAACGCGTCTAATACCTTTTAGACTTTGTCGGCGCATTACTCATGGGTTGAATGCGGGGTACTTCGGCTATGGATCCACTTTCTGGTGGGCCATAGGGGCCGGGGTAGAATCATTGCGGTGACACCATAGGCGTAGATTGAGAAGCGGATTGTGTACCCGACTACATCCGTGCAGAAGTCGTGTAAATTATATTGCAGAACACTTTGCCGCTCACGGAAGTGGGAAAGTCGGAAATGGAGAGCAGCAAAATTGCCGACTAAGCCGCTTCACCTGCTGTGCGCGCGCTGGCTGGTTGTTCTCTATTTCCGACTTTCCCAGTTCCGTGAGAGTTTGCGCGTTTGCGTAAACCCGGGATCTATAGGCCCCTATAATGACTCGACATAAGATCAGTTAGTCACCCCAACTTCGAGTTTTCTGGAAACCGCTAGGAAAGCACGCTATCTAGGAGAACCGACCACGAGGAATCGACTAACAGCACTTTCAACACCTGCAGCTAAGGCGCTAGCGCGCAGTAGGGAGAAGAAGGAGGCCTTCCTTCGTTATCTCACGCCTGTGAGAATTTTCTCACAGAGCTTGGGCTCTAATGCCAAGACTAGAGGGGCTGATAGGAACGCAGGAGCTTATTGAAGCTTAAATTCAGCAAGAAACACAGACATATCAAAACAATAAAAATAACAAAAAAAGACTAGCCTCAAAGGACCTTAGAGGCACAAGAAAACGACTAATGGATAATAATCCAGAAATCGAGATGGCTGAGGAGGCCTCTACGCCGTGCCCTAACAGGCAACTAGAAGAACCGCCTAGGCCTACCCATACTAGGACAAGAAGCAATTTTTCTCCATTTATTGGAGCAGTGCCAAGATACCCTACAGTAGGGAAAACACCAAAGGCAACCTCTATTGAGGAAGCCTTAGAGATTGCTAGAAACCTAGTAATCCAAGCAGCTAACCTAGCTAAGAACAACCCTACTAGGTAAACTAGTTTACTAGACCTTGTAGAAGTCTTTAGAGACTTTACA